ATAATCAAATAATTTATGCATATTTTTTTAAACGAGGATGCATTGAAAAAAGAGAATTGATACAAAGGATATGAGGACAAGAACCAAAATCCTATTAGAAATTAAAAAAAGTTAAAGAAAGGCAATTATAGTTAGGTGTGTTAAAAATTAAATTGGTTTAATAGAAAGTCGTAAAATTGCATCGAATCAAATCAAAATCATAAAAAATCATATTTGATTCTTATGTATTTGAGTTATTTTTTAATGGAACTGCGCGGTTCGGTTCAGTTTACGGTTTGTGTTTTACAAACTGAACATAACTATATTATGTTATAAAATCTTACTAATCAATATTTTTTTTTAATTATTTAGAGAAATAAACATGTATTATGTGTATATTTTATCATACTTTGTATGATATTTATTTTAATTTATTAATCATAAAAAATAAAATATTATTAATTTATAAATAATATTTTCACAAAATATATTTTATCGTATTTTTTGTATAATATTTATTTAAGAATGTAATCTTGTCTATATCATTCCTTAGATTTAGATAAAATTATAATACGCAATTTTATATCAAATTATAAATTTATTTTGACAATTATAAATTTTTTATGGTAATGTATGAACAATTAAATACAAAATTATATTTTCCTCTATATGTGTATGTATGGTTTAATAATTTTTTTGTAAAAAACTGAACCAACCAAATCAACCCAAACCACATTAGTTTAGTTTTGTTTAGTTCGGATTTATTTTTAAAAGTCAACCGAATCAAACCGAACTGCATTTTCTTCTTCTTGCGGTTCGGGTGATTTTTTGCTTCAAACCCGCTTAAACTGCACCGCAAACACCCCTAATCATAGCTTATTCTTTACAAAATCTGCTCTAATACTAGCAGGGATGAATGTAAAATAAGAAAAGTCAGAGATGATAAGACCTATGTTAGTAAAGGCATCAACACAACTATTATCTTCACGAAAGATATGAGAAACCATAAAATTCCAGTTAGAGACTATATTGATAAAATTAATCCATCTATTTCTAATATGCCAAGGGACCAAGGAATGAGACTTGAAGGCATTGACCATTGCCATTGAATCAGATTCCAATCAAAGATTATGTCAATTATTCTCATAGGCGAACTCAATTGCAAACATCACACTAAAGAGTTCGACAATGAGTGAGTTGGCACAACCCAACTGGATAGCAAAAACCCTCAAAAAACCACATTCACAATTCCTAACAATACCGCCACAAGCAGATCTACCAAAGGAAAAAGCTCCATCAGAAGTAATCTTGATCCAATTTCTATGAGGAACTTTCCAGATGACCTCAATAATCTTGGGAGCCTTAGGAGGGTGAATGTTAACCCAAAATGTTTTAAGAATCACAAAATCCTGCATGTTCAGAAAGGAAGCATCCACTTGTTTCCAGCCAAAGAAACAACATTCATAATAAAAGAGATGGAAGAAGGAATACTGGAGACAATATTTTGAAATCTTACCATGTTGCGAGCTCGCCATATAACATTAAAAAAAAATAACAGCAACCATGATAGTAATCTTACATTGCCCCGTAACATTACGACTCAAAATAATGCTAACAACAGCTCATCCAGTGACATGATCATGAAAGTTCAATTGATTGTCTAACTAAATCCAACGATGCGAAGCATACTTACAGTCAAAGAATAAATGTTGAACTGATTCTTCCTCCTTTGTACATAAATCACACCGAGAAGGGAATGCAGAGTTCTTTTTTTTTTTCATTGATCATCTGTAGAGAGATTTTCGTGAAGGAGCTTCCACAGCTTACAAGACTTTGACGGTGGAATCGATTTAGACCATATCCAATGCCATCAATCCTTACGGATCCCTTTCGATCTCTTGAACTCATAAGCAATTTTAGCATTAAAATCACCATTAGGAGAGTGGTACCAAACTCTTAAATTTGAATGAAGATCAAATGGAATGTGCCACTCTATAATCCGCGACTGAAGGGAAGGAGGAATGGAGGTGACAACATTAGAAAAATCCTAGGAACCACTTGCTATAATATCACTCACCTTTTGATCCACGAAGGAAGACGGATCCTCCAGCCCAAGATGAAGCGGCTCCCCGCACCAATTATCTAACCAAAGACTAATTGATCCTCTGTTTCCCAAACACCAAAAAGAATTTTCTTCAAAAGTAGAAAACTCTGATTTTAGGCTGGACCAAAGAGAGGAAAAAATATGATGGTTTATGAATTTACCCTTTCGAAACACCCTTTGTTTAAGTAAAACCGCCCAGGAGCTAGAGGAATTGATGAGATCGCCCAAGCAAGCTTAAGACTGGGAGTTTCATTTAACTTGACAAGGGATCTTAATCCAATACCACCTTCCTCTAAAGGAAGGCACATAAGGTTCCACGCCACAGTAATAGCTTTGCTCTTAGTTGTTTCGCCGCTCCAAATAAACCGCTTTATCGCACGCTCAATATCTCTAATAAGAGAAATAGGTCACGCATAAATCATCATACTATGAATGAGCATACTTTGAATGACCGATTTAACTAGCTCCACTCTACCAGTAAACAAGAGCAACAGACTTTTCCAAAAAGCCAATTTATTTATGACTTTATCTGCAATGGACTGTAAAAAAAAACTACATTGAGACTCTTGAAGATAGGAACTCCGAGATAAATAAAAGAAGTAGTTTCAATTATTTTTTAAACAAAAGGGTTTAAAAAATATGCATTAAAAAAACTATTTGAGAAAAATTTTAAAAAAATTTCTTGTAAAATTAAAATATTAAAATAAATTTTATAGATGCAACTATATCAATATATTAAAATAATATTAATAGATGAATATTCTATTTAGATTGAACCCATTGTCAATCCAAAAGATTTTGCCAATATTAAAATAATACTTTAAAATTACGGCCAATGCATATATATATATATATATATATATATATATATATATATATATATATATATATATATATATATATATATATATATATATATATATATATATATATATATATATATATATATATATATATATATATATATATATATATATATATATATATATATATATATATATATATATATATATATATATATATATATATATATATATATAATTAGAAAAATTTGTTAATTATACCTATTTTAAAAATATTATCTAAAGTTTTGGAGTGGCCATAGCCCCCCATGTCCTAAGGATGTTCCGCCTCTGAGAATATTTTGTATAGACTCAATTTTGTGAATGTAGAAATGTAACCATTCTTTAGAATCTCAAGCTAAATAAAAAGTTGCATGTGTGTTTAATATCTAAGATAAAGTTCAAGACAACGAACACTCTTATTAAATTTAAATCTTATTCATCATACTAAGGTTCAAAGTCTATTGACACCTTTCTAGATTACTACACTGTTGGAACATTTAATGTTAGAGGAAACATTTTCCAAAGTATATGGGGTGGATAGTGAATTGAAAAGAACTCGAATATTTCCATTGGCCAATTTTCACAAATTTCAAGTGTTTATAGTGGAGGTAGTTTCATTTGAGTGTGCCCAAAAGACTATAGAAATTTGCATCATGGTAACTTATGTTATAAAAATATACGTTAAAGATATTATAATTAAAAAAAATATAAATATAATTAATTATAATAAAATTATATTTAAAATTTCAAAATATTAAATGCACACGTTTTAAGAGAATATTTTTATAAATAATTTATTAACTTGTGTTTTTGAAGCACATGTTAGCTTTTTCCTAGAAATTTTACAATTAAATGAAACAACGTAAATAAATATTACAATTAAATGAAACAACGTAAATAAATAATATTAAGTGTGAATTGTGCATCTGTCCAACTCACTTCACTCCAGTTTAGCCTTGATATTAATCATACTGTTTTAGTATTAGAAACTTTATTACTTTAAGAGAAAATTAAATTTGAAATTGAAATTGGCATCTGTTACAATTAAAATTGACTAAGCAAGTTGAGATTGAATCTAGGATTTAAGTGATTGAGTCGTCTCTCCCTCTCCCTGAATTCTCTCCTATTCAGCTTAACCAAACCTCCATTCTTAAAATCTCTTCCACGTTTTATTTTCATATGAATGTCCACTTCCATAATGGTTAAATGATTTAGACTGTTCATTCATGGTTGGATCCAAACTTGTTACTATAAATAGAGACCTTTAAGCACATCTCAATCACACCAAAATTTCATAGTTTGCCTCCCCCACTCTCTTTTGTGCTCTTACTCTTTGGACCCCCTTCTTCTCTTTTTACATATGGAGGTTTCCAAATATTTCTTGAAATTCTATTAATAGAATTAATCACTTCTTGAAAAAAATTAAGTTTGTCCAAGAAATTATTAATAGTAGTCTTACCATCATTATTCGAGGGTGTATTTTAGAACGATATTTTCAGTGTATTAGGTAGGATTTCATAAAATTTTATTAGGTTGTTTTATCTTGAAAATTTCTTGATTGATAGTCTATTTACACAATTTTAAATACTACGGTAAAACAATTTAAAGATAATAAATTAATACGTGAGTCAGTCGATCATTTCTTTCATTACATAATTGTTTTAACTTTTTTTTGAAATTCAAAAACAACATTTATTGATTTCAAAAAGAGTTGAACTATTATATTTATATTTAACCTAACATAACTAAGTTGCTCACTAGGATTAACTTTTTAAACAACTTGTAACCAACTTAATAAACTATCAGTTAGCTAAACTAACTTCCTCAACAAGATTAAAACTCATAAGAAAGTTTTACTGTTCTCATTATCTGAACTAATTCGAAAAATTAATCTCTATAATCATGATAAGAGATATACAATAATTTAGACAAATAAAAATAAAGTTGTAATAGATGGAGAAAATTTATAGAGTAATAAATTTTATTCATTCAAGTTTTTTTTACTCTTTACAAGGAAAATCAAAGTCAATAATCCTTATAAACACACTTATAATTTGTTACATTGAAAAATCTTAATTATGAGTTTTTTGAAACTTAACTTTGAAGGGAACATTAGTGAGAGCCAAACGCATTCCCCTAGTCTTATATACATAATACCCAATATCTTTGCACACATGCTTGCAAGAAGGACATACATTGGGACAATAGACCAACTTATAAGCATCATCGTACTTCTCAATCTTGAACCAGTTTCCAATTGTTTGCGAACCTGGGTTGCCCAATACACCACCGGTGATCACAAATGTTTCTTCTTTAGAAAAAGGATCAATCTTCCATACTAAGTAATCGTGGGGACATCTAGAATCATAAGCTTCATTGGAGAACATTATGTTGAGATCAGTGGAGACACGAATAACACCTTTCTTGTTGTTAACGGGTGTGAACCTCAAAGATAAACCTGGGTTATGTTTCACAACTACTACGTCAAGAGGACATGATTCACCAGTAGCTTCAAGGGCAACACCTCCACTAGTATTGAAACAACTAACAAAGCCACATATGGTAAATGGCTTTGCCGGAATTATGAAGTAGTTGGCATCAGCTCGGAGCTTCTTCCCCGATGTGTCGAGGACTTCATCGGGTGAAGCTTTAGCTGATCCAAGTAATGGTTGTGAGGACAAGGCGTGGAGAAGGAGAACTGCTAGTATTGTGCTCTTCATTATGTTTGTTAATATTATGTTTGTTTTGGAAATGAATGATGATATGATGAAAAGTAGAGCATCAATTTATACATGCTACTACAATTGTCCAAGGATTCATAAAATTATCATATACTAGAATTGTGGTAAATGATTTTGACAATACAATTGGCCAATATTAATTAATTGATTGCATTTAAGAACCACCTTCAAAATCTATGGTTGCTTAGTCTTAATGTCTTTAAATTAATAATAAAAATGATGGTACTAGTACTTGGTTCTTTACCCAAGCCTCAAACTGAGACCTGTTGTGTAAAAACAGTGTGCAACTGGCTCTATACATAAACTAACCTGTAAATACGGACAAGTTGGATAATCTTCAATTTCAAATATGACATCTCATGAACTGGCTTGGTTATATAAGTCATACTATTTTGTTTTCTATTTTTAAATAATGGAGGTATCAAATTAAGAAAGTAAACAGGGGAAAGAACCTAGAATCGGAAAGCTAACTTAACAAGTTTCCAAATAAAAATTAAATTATATTCGTCTCCTAGCTTAATTACACTACAATTATTTGAGATTGGATCTTCTAATTTTCTATTCTCTATATTTCTCTAACTTTCTCTCTATCTCTCTCATTATTTACTTTCTATCTCATCTTTTTCCATCCAAAATAAATATCACTTCTCTTTTGTCTTATTTATTATTTTGCCCAAAATCATTCTACATTTCCCTCTCTAAAAATAGAGGATCCTTACTCCACTTTTTTATATTAAAATATAGTATATTGTTCACGGTAAAGTAAGATACACTAATCCATAATTCTATTAGTTCGAAGTCAATCAGAGTCACAAATTTATATGTAAATTTGGATTGACAATGAATATAATTGATTCTATTAGAATTGAGTTTGGTAAAATTGATTCTAACATAATTGAGTTTAGTATAATTGATTTATGTTTGAATACATTTATATAAAAGTGAATTGTACAATAAATTTTAGCATAAAAATTACTCAGAATTAATTCTGAAGGCATAAGTTATAAATTTTAGCTTCAAATAGAATTAACTATGAAGGCAAAATCAACTCTACTTTTGATAAACTAAACACTTCAAAAGAATCAATTATATATCTCTAGAATTAATTTTGTAAACTTGTAGAAGTCAATTCAAACATGCATCATGTCTATGTCATACGAAAAAAGTGTTTGCCTTCTCCAATGCATTAGTGGTATTAATATAATAGTTTTACCTTATCTCGTATTTAAGGTATATAAAGACCATTTAATAGCCATTTTAGTTATCGATCTATGATAAATGCTTAAAATATGTTAAAATGTGTAAATATTTATTAACGTGTTTTAACAATTAACAGTTTGAAAAATCTCTAATTTATTAATGAAAATTGGTAAAACGGCTACCCAAACATTTAGACAATGCATTTATGAAATACAAGTTAGAATTATGTTCTTCTAATAGAAAGATGTCATACACAATGTGCAAGATAATGTGTATGACAAGATTAATACAATAGCAAATAAGATGTGAATAAACATAAATTGTTAATTCAATTCGATACAAAGTCACATACGGTTGAAGACGTTAACCCAAGAAAAAAAATTCACTTTTAATAGTAAAAATACAAATTAGTTTTAGTTGGACCTTACTAGTTTGAAGTCTTTTTTCTTATATTATCCTATGAATTTTTATTCAAGACTTCATCTAAATATAAGACTCCTCTCACTTTTTCAAACACTTTTTCAAATATTTGAACAGTTACAATAGTAATAATGATGAAACCAATTACAACTCAGAAACAAACTTTATTCTTCTATATAAGAATAACACTAGTGAATAGATGTGACAAAACGGGGACGAACCTATTAAGCTGAACCGAAAATACCACAAAAATGAAAAGTTTGAATAAAAAAATTAAAACCAATTTAGAATTGAGATTTTTAACCCTGACACGTTGAAGCCCGAATTTTAAATAAGCTAATCCAATCAAGTTGCGGATAGCCGGTTTATTTTATGAAAAATTATGAATATTAATAATTATTATCTAAAAGAAAGTGAATGTATGCGTTTGAAACATGGTTTAAGCTATGAAACCTGGAACATCGGGTGTATCTTGCTAGTAGGTGGTAATTACACTTGAAAAGCCACCTCACCAACAACCTTTAACAAGCGGAAATGACCATAGTATCTTTTGGACAACTTATGAATTCTTCGACCTTCGACTGAGTGCTTCCTATAGGGTCCGAGTTTCACGAAAACTAAGTCACCAACTACAAACTTGTGAGGAACTCGTGTTTGGTCAGCTATGTTCTTCATAGTTTCCTACACCTTGGCAAATTTATTCTTCAGTTCCTATAACACCCTTGTTCTTATCGCCATGGAAATGTCGACAGCTTGAATGTCAGTAGCTCCAGTTATGTACTCAGACAAGTTGGAATGAGGTCGACCATACACAACATGAAAAGGTGAAATTCTCGTGGATGTATGCACTGCAATGTTATAATGTCGTTTTGCCTAATGCAAGTACAGTCCCTATTGTTTGGGCTCTTTATGAACAAAACAACATAGGTATTACTGAAGCAGCTTATTCACAATCTCATATTGTCCCTCACTTTGTGGGTAATAAGCTATGGACATGTGTAACTTAGGGACACTGAGGCAAAATAATTCTTGCGAAAAGTGACTAAAAAATATGGGATCTCGGTCAGACACCATGCTCTTGGGTATGCCATGTGACTTACAAATCATTATAGTCAATACCTTAGCTACTTTAGATGCATTGAAGTGCGTAGGAAGCATTCCAAAACGCGATGCTTGGGATAATCTATCCACCACTACCAATATCACGATATTCTTTTGGAATGAAGGAAGGCCTATAAAGAAATTCAATAAAATGTCTTTGTAGCGGTGAAAATTTGAGACTAAGTTATTGGCTGACTTGATTCATACATTGAAAGCCGTCACCGTACTTAATTGTTTTTAAAAAAATGAGAAAAGAGCGACATAAATGTTGAATAAACTTTAATGTTATAGGTCAAACCATCTCCTAAATATTGATGTCTCAAATTAGGATTTTGATTTTGACAAGGATAATTGGACTTCTAATGTCTCAAATGACCTTCATGGATCATTATATACCTCCAAGAATACTCGTGTCAAGTTTCAAGTCTTGAATCACAAATTTGCTTAGTCAATTGATCAGATGACTGAAAATCAACTGTATTGGGTAAAAAGTCAATTATAGTCAACCTACAGTCAAACTTCATGATTTTTTGCCAACATCAATATTTTAAATTCATATTCATCATTTTATCAAGTATTTATCACACCCCCAAGAAAAGCACTCAATTTATCAAAGGGGCAAAATGGTCAAAATTAGAGTTTTAATTGTAACTGACTGATCGGTGACTTTTGACCTAATACATGATCTAATGGCTTGAATAATAATCTCAAGGACTCAAACACAACTTGTTGACCTAATTTCATGGCTCAAATCATTTCTCAAGATCAATGCATTGATAGTTGAAATTTGATCAACGGATGAAAAGTTAACTGATGCACAGAAAATCAAACTTTGACTTTTTGGATCAAAATTCAATTTCAAAGATCACAATTCATCAAGATATTAAAAAATATCAAACTTGATCATCAAGAATCAATAAAGTCAAGAAAGTCAAGAAAGTCCATTGAAAAGTCAAACTTTTCAATACTTAGAATTTTTCTAAGTGTTTTAAACCTTATTAATTTCATAACTTCATGATATTTTTTCACCAAGATACAAGATGATTCAAAAGAAACTTTTAACATGAGAGTTGTAGATCTTGATGATATTTACAACTTTGAATTAGAGGGATCGTATCCAAAAAATGCTTAGATTTTGAGTTATAAGCCCATAAAGTCATGCACTTTTTCTAAAACACTTAGTGAAAATTTGACCTAGTTTAAGTAGATTTTTGACCTAACTTATTGGCCAATTTTCATCAAACTTCAAGATGATTTTGTCAAAATGGTCAACATGAAGGTTGTATAGGATGTTTCAAGATTTCCAAAATGTCCAAGAACTTGAAGAGATCATTTTTGAGCTAGGAGATTCGAAGAGAAGAAGATGGGATCACAAACATCGATTATAGGTCATTTTTCATGAAGAACACATGATCCAATCTCATGTCATGCTGCATAATCTTGCTTTACAAGCCTCTTAACTTGCAAATCTCACCATAATTAAATGTTTACACAAACGTTTGAGCTATGGTCCACTTGATTCAAGCATTGTCCAATGCATCTTGCCATTTAAAGGAGAAAGGTACCATTTCCATTCTTGAAAAGCAAGCTTTTTATAAAAGTACACTCTTTGAGCCTACAACTTATTTATTCTGCACACACTCAATCTACAAAGTTAGAAGCAACATATTTAAAGTGTTTAACCACTCTATGATCAAAGGTACAAGGCATTGAAACTTGATTTTTCAAGAAAATCACATGTTGAGCTTAACATGTTGTGATCGGTGGATTTAGAACTGACTGTTTAACGCTGGTTTCGCGAAATGTCGCGGAAGCAAGAGTCGCCACCGTCTTTTATTTTCTCCAACAAGGAAAGGAAAAAAGCACAGCAAAATTCCTTATGAGATATGTTTCTCGGTTCGGGAGGTAGATTTATAGAAAGGGAAGGTGTTAGCACCCTTTCTATCCGTGGTTATCCACGGGCTCTTAGGTACTTGCTCTTATGTTTTCAAAAGATTTTTTTCTTTTCAATTGTGTGTGAGTTTGAAAAAAGTTTCTTTGAAAGATTTCTGAATAACTCTTGTATCTGTCCTCAAGAGTGTTTGAAAAATTTGTTTTGAAAGCTTTTGAAAGTGTAAGGTGTGAAAAGTATTTTGTTTGTTTTTGAAAAGAGCAAGTATCTATGAGTCATCTACCTACCCTAAGGAATTAGGCTGTGTAAAAGTCCCTAAGGTAGTGCCATCCCACCATTGAGAGGTAGGTAGCACCACCGTTAGAGG